ACGCACCTGTAAGCCCCCATGCTTTTCATTGTGTCCTGCAGTATCACTCATGTGGTTTAACGCACTTGGACGAGCATAAGGCTCGTGGCGATGGCTACCAACCTCCGTAGTGGTCGCGTACTAGCCAAATCTTTGGTAACGGAACCTCGTACCTGTAGGGCGCCGATTCCTCGAAGTCTTCACCCGGCGTCTTGTTGGCACACCGCGAAGAAAAAACGGTGCCACGTTCTTCGTGGTTCCTCGCGACGCTATAAGGAAAACAAACATCCAAGGCTCCCCGGGCGCGCGCTCTCCCCGCAGAAGCGTGGCTTCGCCGACGAACCTCCTCACCCCACAACGGCGGCCGAGCAAGCACTCGATTTTTCCAGAAGGAACGGGGCGTGTATGCCGGGTTGACTCATCTGTAGGGAACGGCCCCCGTACAGTTTCGCGCCTCTTCCCAGCCTTCGCTGCGTATCGCGCCGACGAAATGACGAGAACTTTCTAGAATGTGGCGCGGAAGGTATTTAATCGAGCGGCCGAGACGAGAGGAGGAGAAGACGGAAGTTAACGCCAGAGTGCGAAGGGATTCTGCCGTGTAGTCGGCGAAGGTTTTGTCCATAAGGACGAAGCAGGAGATGAAGAGGATTTCCACCTGAGGGGTGAAGGCTCGAGCTACAGGCAAGAGAGTGTGTTTACCGCTATCGAGCGAAGACGCGTGGCGACAGCTGCGTGTGTGAAGCCGACGTGTTCGGGCGAACAAGTTTGAAGCTTGGAGAGTGGCCAATTGAAGACGCGAGGTTTCCTGGAAGAGAAACTTCGAGGGCGCGGAACGACAACAACGCTGGACTTTGAGTGAGTGATTCTCGGAAGAGTATCATCCAGACTTTTGTTCCAAGAACTTTGGACTGGACCGGTTTTCTATCTCTTTAGTCTTTATGTGTCTTGGTTGTTCAATGCATGCGACTGCATTGTAGTGCGTATTGTTGTCTGTGTCCGTTGTTCCAATTGTGGCTGATTGTACTGTGTAGTACGTTGTTTTATTGGTGACGTATTGTATGTAACTATTGTGGAGTGTGCATTCTTATGTATTGTTTTCGATCTGCCATTTTTGAGAATATAATATTTGTTTTGTTTATCAACTCTCGGCTCTGACTTGTTCTTCGGGCCACAGCCGGCGTCCGCTGGCACGCCAAAAAGGACCACTTCTAAATTGTCCACGCTTTCGTGGTGCGGTTCGGGTGGCCAACACTTCGGCCCTTGGAATTAGCCCGGCGATCGCCTCCCTCATTAACGGGGCCGGTGTGACAGCCTCGAATCTATTCTGAAGCGAAACTCTGCATCCCTGTGCTTTTACTTTCACCGCTAAGTCATTAATTGGCTTCTTTCGTAGCAGTTTTTGTTTTTGCTGTTTTAAATATTGGTGAATACAAGCTGTTATCTTTCTATGGTCATTGCGTCAGATCTTGCCAACTACTTGTACAGCCTCTACAATGCCTTGGTGTGCACATAGAATATAGTATATTTTTTTTAGTTTCGCCATTAGGACTTCACCACGTCCACTTACGTTTAGCTCGTTTTCTGAAGATGGTGTTCAAGATCCGTAAGTTACTATGTTCTGCGAACTCTACTAATGGCCCTCCTCCTGCATTTCTACAGCCGATGACATATTGCCCCACTGCATGGTCTCTGGCATGTTTCTTCACAACTTTGGCATTAAAGTCGCCCTTAAGAATAGCATACTGTGACTTTACTTTGTTAATGGCAGACTCCATATTTTCTTAGAAGCGTTCAACTAAATGACTATTGGCTCGATATAGGCGCGTAGGCTTCAACCACCTGACCTTGTACCTTTTGTTAAAATTATGATACTCTATAGCCACCTTCTCACTACTTCTATAGTATTGCTTCATATTGCAGGCGATATTCTTGTGTATAGAAAACCATAACCTAGTTTTTTTCTGTCAATTAATCCACGGTAGCAAAGTAGCATAGGGCGTGTTCGTTCCACGGTACTGTATAAGCCTCACGTGCCCCCCTATATTGGCTGAGCCCTATTGTATCCCATTGGAACACCCTCTAATTCCTCGAACAGGACAGCTAGATTTGCCCCGCTAGACAGCGTGCTAGCGTTGAAGGTAGCAAACTTCAGATTCCAGTGGCGCCCGTCTAGAAACAGAGATTCTAAGCAGCCTCCACGGCGTCACAGGTCTGACCGCAACCTTGAACTCTATACTTATAAATAGACTTCTAGCTATTCCCTTTCTGAAAATATGCGTTACACTGATGGCGGAAAAAGTACTGCACATTGGTGCCCCAGTTTTGGGACATTGCCACAGGCATGTTTTCAGTGCCATTTGCGAGTTTGTGCAGGCATCAAAATTACCCTATTGTAATCCCCAATCATAAAACTATTATTTTGTATCAGCAAAAATGTTTCTTCGGAATGGTTACGTGAAGTAAACATAGCTGTGCAGTCATCTCAACACCTCAAATCTCAAAATTTCTCAAATAGAATTTCCCATTTTTTTAATTTTCCTCTCCATTTGTGACTTTCTTTACAATAATTATATTATAATACAAGTTAATTATTACACAGAGTCATAATGCTCACAGTACGCTTTCTTGGCCAATTCTCCTGAATTGGTTCGAGCCACGATTCCTGGGAAACGAACATACAAACTTCCTGTTTCACTCAAATTTGGCAGTGTTGGTTTCAAAGTGCCGGCAATGTCGAAGTTTTGCTCATTAAGAGAGGTGACACTTCGACTTTGACGTTTCCTGCCAACTGACGAGTGGCGGGCACCTGTTTTGCGAACTATTTAGCTAGTTCTAGGCGGTTGTTACTTTGAGCGTATACGTCGCAGGGGGTTGGAGCGCATGAAAATTAAAAGTGAAAGGTTCTTAACTGCTAAAGAATAGACAGGCGTTGCTTTGAGCGCTGTATTCCATTTTGTTAACGTTTCAGGGTAGTAATTGAAAGTCTGGTAATTAGATATAGAAGTAGACAGTGGCGCTCAGTCGGTAGTAAGATTTACGAGCTCGTTATCACATCTACGGTTAGCCTAACAACGTTAATTAGTAAATGAAAAAGGTAAGGAGCGAATTATTTCAAATAATAGAAAGCGGAGAAAGGCAAGAAACGTCATACGAAAATAATGACTTCTTTGCATTACTCACGCGTTTATGTGCGCGCATTCAGAGCACACGTAAACGCACACTGGAAGCATTCCACGAGGAGTATCACGCATACAGACGCCGTGCGTGAAAAAACCGCCCCCAATGTGGTTCTAAGGGATAAAGGAAGAAAAAAGTGAGCCCTGTAACTGTCGGCTCATCTACGAATGTATTAGGGGCCAGTTAGATTCGGTGGCTTGAATGTTTACCACGCTAACTAAGCGAAGAAAATATATCAAACCAGCAAGGAGTTGTTTAAGGTTGCTGAAAATGCACACACGTTAGTTCAGCGCGCTGTTGCAGCCATCCCGATGCCTGAATTGCAGGTGGCGAACTTTTGATCATATATGGAGTTCCATTGAAAGCAAACCAACAACGCAACGGTAACTGCGGTATGAATTATGCGAGTGGGAACGTCCAAGAACAACGACTACGTCTCCATAAGATCGCAATGCGTGCGTGTTTGTTATCTATAGTATCTGAGGTATAGCGTATCTGGGGCGGGACAGAGAAGAAGGCAAAGCGCTGTGTATGTGTTATGTGCCTTCTTTTTTGCCCCGTCTTGGATGCGCTATACCGTAGATATTACGCTTCACAAACACAACGAATAAAAACATGAAGTTGTTTCTACATATAAATGTAAGTGGTCTTTCACATTGCAAGGAGACAGCAAGCTATCAATACTGTATTCGTTACATGGACGCGCCATGTTGCGTACTGATTCATAGAGGTGAAAGAAACAATTTCTAGCGAGCTGAGACAGTGAGAACGGGAGGTGAGACATTGTTATAACTTACTTTACTCTTTTACCTGTGGTTATACACGCTTGCAGCCCCGCCATGGTGGTCTGGTGAATGAGGTACTCGGCTGCAGACCCGCAAGTCACGGGATCCAATCCCGCCTGTGGCGGCTGCATTTCCGATGGAGGCGGAAATGTCGTAGGCCCGTGTGCTCAGATTTCGGTGCACGTTAAAGAATCCCAGATAGTCGAAATTTATGGAGCCCTCCATTACGGCGTCTCTATAATCATATGGTAGTTTGGGACGTCAAACTCCACAAAGCAATTATACACGCTTGTATTCATTCTCTCTCGTACGACTTGTCCGGCAATCGATAATTTTGCGAGTGGATCACGTGTCTTCGTACTGTCTGCCCTTTTATGGCACAGAGAAATACTGCGGCAATCGCTTGCTCTTTCGTGTGGTCGTTTTTACGATAGCGAAAAAGCCACTTCGAACAGCGAGCGTCTTGTTGCAGCGCGCCAAGTTGACGGCACAGCGCTGAAGTTCCCCACTTCGACTCAACAGCGCGTGCCGCACGTGCCCCGCCTGCACGGAGCTGCAGTGACACGCTAAATCACCGGTGCTCTCAGCCGCGCATATCTACAATTTCCCTAAGTTGCCGCCAGAACGACAGCCTGACGTTCTCGTCGCTTCGCACACTTGAGCTTTCGGTCCTATAGGGGGTTTCGTGTGCGCGAAGGCTCGCCCATAAAGGCTCCATACCTCCGGCGCGTGCAGGCCACGTCCTCGAGTGTTTCTTCTCATTAAGATTGAGATGCACAAAAAGGTAATGATTCCGTTTACGAGTTATCAGCCATGATGCACTATTCCACTCACAGGGTACCGGGATCTTGGTACACAACCGCAGTATTCGGAAAACAAGTTGCGCCCACTCCCGCATTCTTACCACAGGTAATGACTTAGTAAAGCTTAATTGATGCCACCCAGTGTTTGACAAAACCTCTATGCTTGCATTTTTCTTTTTTTTTAATTGGTAACTGAGCTTTTTTCATCACGTGTACTGCGTAACATGCATGTAAGAAGTAAAAAGAGTTTACTCACGTAGTGATTAAAACAACCAAGTCACATTTCTGAACAGATGGGGTTTCGCCCGCGTACTGCCTCAGCTTTGCGACTGTTTTATCCGCATCAAGATCTCCAGATGATGTGAAGCCTATATAGTCAGCCTTTTTCTGAAAATATTTGATTCTGTCGTATGTAAATAAAACTTGCCATTGTAATTTTGGTGTTTACCTTGTTTGTTTCCTGGTATGCTACTAGAACTACTCGTATAGGCGGTTTCAACTGCCGCAGCAACAGGCTCACCTGCAATCAGAAAAAAAAAGGAAATGCAATCATCATTCGCTAGGAAACATGTCCATAGCCGAGAAGTATTATCAACAGGGCGTTGATAATATGACCATATGCATAACGAAATACTAGGGTTGTGCGAATAGTGAATTTCTGGGTCGAAGCAAATTCGAAGTGAATAGTGATTTTGGTCGAATAATTTCGAATCAAATTCAAATGATACGTATGACATTTAAAAAAAAGAAATATTTATCATAACCTAACTAACCTGCACAATACTTCGTTTGTATTGAAAGAGGGGCTCTATGCAAATGCCTTTTTTTTCGTGGAAAGGAAGTCGAAACAACCTTGATTAGTAGTTTTGGTAGGATCCGAGAGATAACTTGCAAGATACATAACGTTTTAACATTTAATATACCTAAATCATATAAACCATCATAACAAGCCTAATAAAAAGAATAATTATTTGAGAGTAACATGTTCCTGTAAAGGGGCCCTGCAACACTTTTTCAAGTATCCATGGAGCCAGTAAACATGCTTCTCGCCTCACAAATTTACCGCCGCAAAATTTCAAGAATCAGTCCAGTACGAGCCGAGTCGCGAAAATTTGTCGCATGATGCGATTGCATTCTTCATTCTCGACCCGTCAAAAGAGCTGGAAGCTGAGTTGGGAAGTATGACACGGGAAAAGAAAAAAACATCATGAGCGCCTAGTGACCTTGAGCATTTTTTCTCTCTCTTTTTTCCTCGAATACGAGGCCTTTCAGTGCGATCCTGCACGTATTTGTTGACAAGCGGAAGCCTCACGCGGCGGTCGATAACGACGAGTACACCATGCTCAAATCAGCCAATGACTGTGACCAAAGCCGTATTTCCTTTCTTGGCTGTGACAAGTAATTTTTGAGCTTGTAGTGTCATTTGCCGAGGGAAGAGAGCAAATTTTAGCTTTGAAAACTTGTTGTGAATTTCAGGCCACGTCCTGCGCTATAATATTTGCCTCGCGTGTTCTCGGTAGGCTCGACTACCGATCGGCAGCGTTTTCTGACCATGCTCAGTAAGTGTTCCAGGGCCCTTTTAAATATGAAGGGGGGCTTTGCGGCAAAGCAAATTTCTCTTGAGTAGGTGCTTTCTTAGTTTACACTACCACGGTGATGTGAAACCACCTTAACAAGCGATCTATTGTACATTTATTGGCTTATCGCGAATACTTCGAAAATATTCGATAATTTAAATTCGCATCGAAGCGAATTCAAATACTCACCTATTCGTTCGAATATTCGAAGCATTCTAATATTCGCACAAGCCTACGAAATACTCATCTCTGCATTCTTCACTTTAGATGGAAGCCATGCCTAGCTTCTTGAGTGGATAGAACGCTTCACAATAAAAATATTTACTTTATTTTTTATTTTGCGTTGTAATGTCATAAGCATGATTACTATGTAACGCGGCACAATCATCCCGTGCTGATTCCTCTGTGCGTGGTGTACAGCGCATCCAAGACGGGGCACAGAAATAAACTCATAATACCTACACAGCGCTAACCTTCATCAATGCGGTTAGTTACGAGAATCAACCGTACATTACTCTAACCCGATGTATGACAATTAAGCCACGAGCGAAGACAAATAATGCAACACCTAAAGCATATTGTTACGTCCCACTCAACTATTTCATTGATTTATAGTATGATAATACCAAGACTTTAAAAATGCACGTACTATCAATCTTGGCGATGAAATATGGTTTGATAATAAGCTTTGTCCTTTCGTTGTTAGTCTTCTAATTATGCTCCTGAATTTCAAGAGGGGTTGTCATGCACAATTCTTGTAGAGCATTTTGAGAAACCACTCTAGCTGCGTCTTCGTAATTTTATTTATGTGCTCGTTCAACTTCTAGTTCACACATCTACCCGTTTTTCTCACACAACATGCACCGCAAGTTGACCCTTATGTCCGTGAACTTAGGAAAGTCAACAAAAGTAACTTATTTTCCCAAAATGGATGATTCAATGACCATAGACAAAAGAATAAGGCTCTTATTTACCTACGAAAACTCTCTGGAACAACAGTTTTTACGTCGTCTTACATGTAGGACATTGAGCGGATGCATTACTTAGAAGAATGATACTAACTGAAACATAGAACATCTATTCCGGTGGAACATTTTCGACAACGCGCGTCGACAATGAGTGCACCTGATTTGCTTCTCGTGATAGATCACCATGTGGTTAGTTCGACCAAATCAACTTTCTCCTTCAACAAGAGATTGACTGCTTCTCTCAAGCAATGAATGGATTTTTTAAGCAATCCCACAACGCCCCGCGGGCACGCTGAACTCTACGGCAAAAATTGGTACACTGAGCGATCCGGCTTTTTGGTGGTGCATGGATCGAGTACAACCGACTGGAAGCCCTGTGCCGATGCCACGCGCAGCGACTACACGACCACAGCTGGACGGGTGTCTGTTATTCTCTGAGGGCCTCACGCCGCTGTTGCCATGGCTGGCATAAAATGCACATGATGAATAACCCGAAAGTGTAGCGTTTCCCATTTCCAACAGCCGCTGCGCAGGGCATCACTGAGAGGGAGCTTGCTGAACTGCTTGCGCCTTCATTCGCGCCACCTTCTTCTTCAGAGTATGGGGAGTGTCACCAGTGTCACAGAAACTGGTGCGAGAGGGAGGGCAACTGCCCTACCTCTCGTGGAACTCACCACGTCTGCTCACATTCGCTATTTTTGCGAGAAGAATTTTTTCGACACCGAACTGGAGCGGGTTCTCAGAAGGCCCAAGCGCCGTGGCCTTGGTCCGGACAGAGTCACAGATCAAAATCTCGGAAACCGGCCTCCCAGCACCCTTTCTTGCTGGATGCATTCAAGAATGTTTCCATAAGTTCTTTCTTCCCGGATCAGTGGTGCTCTGCTACTGTAATTCCTGTCCTCAAGCAAGGTAAAAACAATCACACTCAGTCAGGTTACGTAGACACATCTCCCTTACCTCAACAGCGGGAAAAGAATGAAAGAGATGACCCTTTATCGACTGAAGCTGATCGTGGATGCTCACAACGCCTTCCAACCAAAATAGTGCGGATTTTGGTCTCAGCACGCGACAGCCGACTTCATCAGCACAATTGTGAGCACCCCCAAGCAAGCTCTACACAATGCAGAGATGGCCATTCTACCCCTCCTCGAGTCCTCGACAAACAGTCAGCGTTTGACATACAGTCGGTGTTTGGCGCTCGGTGTCGAGGGCAAACTCACGAACTACGTTCACTGACCGGACATATAGTGTGCGCGCGGGTGTGGTGAGAAGTCCACGGCGGTCCGTAAGCTGCGGCGTCCCACAGTGCAGCGTCCTCCGGCTGTTTTTGTTTAATTTAGTAATCGCGCCGCACACCAAGTGCCTTCCAGAAACAGCTATGTTCCCTGAGCGCTCGGTTGTGTACGCTGACGATGTCACTGTTTATGTATACTTGAAACAATTCGTAAGTGCTCAGCGGTGCGCACCTGAATGCAGGAGGCCCTCCAGTGTGTGTCCGCCTTCATTAGTAGCTTCGCCTTCACGATATAGACGCCAAAAACCGAGGCCCTCGTCGTTCACCCTCGTTCTGATGCCCGACGACGTCTTACGTGCATTCATCTAGGTCGTGGGTCGATAGTTTGGCGCAGCCATGTACGCTACCTCGGCCTCACGATAGATTTCTGGCGGTGCAGCACGTACGTCATACGATGCGTCGCCAGGATCGGCTGTGTGCCGTCTACTCGTCTCTGGCAACGGCTGCCCCACTGCCTTCGCCTCCACTATAAACGAGGCGATGGCTCTATCTAGCGTGCACTACGCAATGCCGATCTGCTAAATCCAAGCACCACAGTGGCAACTCATTGACCAAGACCACACCCGCACCATCCGCATGTGTCACAGAATGCCTCGTAGCTCTCGTGTGGACGAGACACTCGTGGGAGCTCGCGCGTGGCCTACGGCACTCACGGTGGACTTGCACGCACTGTGCCACTTTCAGCGCCTTAGCCGGGTACCGATTCTGGCCTCCTGCCCACGTGGTTACGTGCTGCGCCATATTCCCGTGTCGGTGAACTCCTAGACGTCTACGACGGCTTTGTGGCTGCCGATCCCACACGCCCTTCGTGCTGACCGCCCTCTCATCGGCGAGCGCCCCTTCGAGTGAACCTGCACTTTCCGGGAGTCGGATCGAAGTGCCACAGCCCGCTCAGTGGCATGACGTAGGAGGTTGTGGTGCGAATGAATGTACGGGGACCTTGCCGGAAGGGTGCAAGTGTTAACTGATGGCTCCGTCGAGCAAGATGGCTCGGTTGCCACCGCCTGCATGGCCCCTCAGCTTGACACAGAGCGAAAGTTCTACTTGTGGAATTGTGCACCGTGAACAACAGCTGAGCTAGTCGCGCTTTTGTTGGTTGCAGACCTCGTACGCGAGTTGCCAGCCGTCAAGAGAGCAGCAATATTCTGTGACTCGAAACCTGCCCTGAATCAGCTAAGCTCGCGAGGAAGTAACGTGGCTCGCTGCTGGCTGAGAATGCTGCACGCAGCCTACTGGCCATTTAGGAGCGCCGAAGTGGTCTCGTGCTTTAGTGGCTCGCATAACACGTAGGCATCACGGCGAACGAGGCTGCATACGAACTTGCCAAAGGAGCACACTCCACCGAGACCCCGCTAACAGACTTTTCAAGCTCTTTCTACTCGGCATGCAAGAGCCTTCGCCCGGGAGGTAATGTGCGAGCATCCTGACGCTCGGGTTGCCGCCGACGCCCCCCTCTTCTCATGCCCACGACTGGTCTCACCCGCCTTGAGCGAGGGCTTCTTCCAACCCTGAGGGCTGGCTCCGTGTGGCCAGCGGAACGGAGGCATCGTCTGAGCAGCCACGAGCTCACTGAACTGCGTTGGCTGCATCGTGGTGCACACACTGTCCCACCTCTTGTGTGAGGGTCCTGCTCTTTGTGAAGCGCGCAAGCAACTCGTGAAGAAATACCAACTCGTTGGAT